TCATAATAAGAAAAATTATGACAAGACAAAAAATATTGAAGAATAAGAAGGGGAAATGGGTGATGAATTTGGAGATAGGGGAGACAGAGAGAAATTGAGTTAAAGCTTTCATGGACATATAGATGCTTTAGGGACATGTCGATGGAGAGAGAGAGTGTGAGGGAGAGAAAGAGAGAGAGAGAGAGAGAGAGAGAGAGAGAGAGAGAAATGGTAGAGAGAGTTAACCTTATAGGTACATGATGTTCAATCTATGTTAGCTCATATTTTTGTGTTCCTATTTTTTATTTTCGAAATACTTCTTATTTTAAATGTAGTTATCTAAATCATATGATATATATAAATTTAGGATGAGGGGGAAAGGAGAGAATGAGAGATAAATATTAAAAGAGGGGTGGACATATGAATGAGGAGAGAGAAATAGTTAAAGTTTTCAAGTACATATATTTAATTGATATAAACAAATAAAAGAAAATAAAAAAATATAAAGTCGGAGAGAACGAAGAAGATAAAGGCGATGAAGAAGAAGAAGAAGAAGTAAAATAGGAAGAAGATGAGGAAAACAGAAAACAAGAAGAAGATGTGACCAAAAAAAAACTTAAAGAATAAGAAGTAACAAAAGAGATATAGAATGAAGAAGAGAAAGAAAAATAAATAAAAGAAAATGAAAGAAAACTAAGAAGAAAACGTGAGAGAAGAAGGAGAGATAAAGATGGAAGATGATGAAGAAAAAAAAAAGAAAAATTAAAAGATAAAAAGGATAAAGAAGAAAAACAATTATGTAAAGACGAAAAACTCGCTTTTGTCTTAATTCAATTGATTTGTGAGCTCAATAGTAAATATATATTTTGTTAATTTTAGATGGTGTTTCCTTTTTGGATTTGCTTTATTTTATTATGTATATATTAAATAATTGTTTTTAATTATTTTTAGTTTTAGTTTACAACATTTATTTCTGGATAGAAGTATGCGTGATATACTAAAAAATGATGACGTTTTTGGTGGGAAAGTCATTGTATTCGGAGGAGATTTCAAGCAAATATTGCCTGTTATTGTAGGAGGTAATAGCACCTAAACTCTTATGGCTACCATAAATTCTTCTACTTTATGGGACAGTTGTACAACTTTAGAACTAACCAAGAATATGAGGCTTCAAAATGGTGTTGGAGGTGATAATGTTAATGAGCTAGAGGCTTTTTCAAAGGGGATTTTAGATGTAGGAGACAACAAAATTATTTCGACTGACAACGATGAAGCAGAGATTGAAATCCCTGACGATTTACTGATAAAAGAATGTGCTGATCCTGTTAAAGAGATAGTAAGAGAAGTGTATGGTGATTCATACATATCGGAAAGAGATCCAAAATTTTTTCAAGACAGAACAATTCTTAGCCGAGAAATGCAGACGTGGGATTAATAAACGAATACATGTTGTCAGAAATAAAAGGTAAACATATTTAACGCTTTATACATACAATCTTACACATGAGCTTCATAATGTGATCAACTGAACTTCGTAAAACATTTTTCTAGCTGAGGAACATACATATTTAAGCTCGGACAGCATCGATACTTCTGATAAGGGCAAGATTGACGAGAAAGTTTACACACAGGAATATCTTAATAGTATTAAGATCTTAGGATTGCCAAACCATGAATTGAAATTGAAAATAGGGACACCTATTATGTTGCTTCGGAATATTGACCCTAGAGGTGGTTTATGCAATGGAACAAGACTCTTGGTAACACAGCTGGCCAAACATGTTATTCAAGCTAGCCACATAACTGGAGAATATATTGGTCAAATGGTCTTGATCCCACAAATGTTTGTTTCCCCTACAGAGACAAGATTTTCTTTTAGAATGAGGCGTAGACAATTTCCGGTAGCTATCGCCTATGCAATGACTATCAATAAAAGTCAAGGACAGACTTTGCAAAAGGTTGGCTTGTATTTACCAAAACCACTATTTTCCCATTGACAACTTTATGTGGCTATATCACATGTTACTTCAAGAGCTGGTTTGAAGATTCTGATAACAGATACAATGGGTCAGCCACAAACCAAAACTTTGAACGTTGTATACAAAGCCGTCTTTCAGAATGTAAGGAAACAATAGTTTTTTTTTAAGGTTTAGAGTTTTACTATTTAAATGGTTTATTTAATTATTTATTAAATGACATTTTAGTTTACTTATTCTTTTCCTATTAATGATTGTTTGTCGAGAATCAAACATAAAACAAATAGAATACAAAACAGTAATGGTGTTTGCAGAATTAATGAATTTTTTTAAAATACAATTATCCAACTAACCAATTTGATGACTATGAATGTTCTTCCAAAATTAAAAGTTTTTATAATACAATAGCGTTTTGATATTATAAAAAAAAAATAAGTACTCAGTTTCATGGACTTCGTAAATCCGTGCATCGCGCGGAATTTCACCTAGTTATATTATATTAAACAATAGAAAGGAGAGGGAGAAATACACGAGAGTTGAGAGAAAAATGATTTTCTCTTCTTATTACTTCCTTCACGTTACACGCATAATAACATGTATTTATACAAATAAGGAAGCGGTGACTTATCACTCGAAGTCGGTAAAAAATAAGATTTTAATATAAAAATGGATAATCATTATCCATAACAACAATGTCCATCTCCTTCATTTGAAAATATATGTTTCATATATAAATCATCATAGAATTATAAAAATCTAAACATTAATAATCTTTTTCTTAAATCTCATCGAAACTATAAATTTTGTTTTCCGCTAAATCTAAATCTTAATGTTATCTTATAAACTGCGGTTTAATCATCGTTGCAATCCGCCACCGTGAATCTCTTACACCGACTTTCTCTGAGATAAATAATAGAAGAGGTAAACTAAACAAGCAAAAGAAATACTCGAAAGGGTAACCAATTCAAAAAAAAAGTTTTTGACTAACCCTCACAAAAGACATTTCCAAACATAGAAAATCCCAACAACGAATCAACTCTTACAAAGTCCCCAAAAAGTATTAGAGAAACACCTTTATAATTATTATGTAGTTTGCATGGAAATAAAAAAAAAGTCTATTGGGAAAACGAAAACATTTTTTATAAGGGAAATTAAGAAGTAAAACTAATAAAAAAAGTAAGGATTCATCACATGTTCTAATTAATAAATAAATAGAAAAAGCTAATTAATTTGAAGAATAATACAAGCATGGAAGTGCCTCTTCCGTTTTAAAAATGCAATGTAATATGTTTTTTTGAAAATTTAATAAACGAATAATTTGAAAATGTAGAGATATATCTGGTATTTTCTTATCTTTAAAATAAATTAATTACAAATTTAAAGAAATAGAAATCATTCATTTTCTTCTTCCCTAATAATTAAAAACGTGACATAGAATTTTTTTGTTTTTGTTTTTTGGTGTAAATGTTAAGACATAGAAGAAAATTTGCTACTAGGTTTCTTAATGTTTTTGAATTACATCTAAATTTTTTTAAAAAAATTTTATAAAAATTATGTGTTTTTGAATCATTTACAGAGCAGAATTTTGTGTTATACACTTTCTTTATCTAATTTCTAAACAATAATGTCACTCAATAATTAATTAAACATTTATTTATATTTTTGGCCGACTAACGCGAAGCTTTGATAACACAAATGGATATTTTTTTTTTCTTTTTGGATTAGCTAACTCAATTGATTCTTACGAAAATAAAATATAATAAAATGTTGACAAAAACAAATAAAACAAATGTTGACAAGAAATGAAATATTAAATGTAATTGAAAGCTGCGTCTCACAACGGCCATTTTCGAGACAAGCACGATTGATATAATATTTTTTTGCCGATTTTTATAACGAGACACTTCACGTCTATTGGTCTCATCCAACACGCGCCGCTTATTTATCTCACGCGCCACCGTCTTCGAAACGTTAAATCTCAAATCTAATTCTTCTTCTCCTCTCCGCTTTGCTTTTTCAACTTGCCAAGCTTATCTCACTTTTCCTTCTTTATCTCCCACTTCTCCTTTTCATTGTTCTGTCGTTTTCTCCTTTCTTTTTTTCCTTAAGATCTCGGAAACCTAAAAAGGAGAAAAATCTAGGGTTTTCTGTAATTTCAATCGGGAAAGAGAAAGAAAGAGGGTAAAGTAATTTATGAGTAAGAGGTGGTTCTGGTGTGTGATGATAAGAGAATCATCATCAACAAAATCGCCATGGGAGGAGTAACTTCATCGATCGCCGCTAAATTCGCTTTTTTCCCGCCAACACCACCGTCTTACGGCTTAATATCCGACGATAATAGCTCCTCCTCCGTTGACCACCGATTGTACATAACCGAGGTTCCTCGCCGCGACGACGTTGACGTTCTGAAGCTACGAACTCGTCGTGGAAACGAGATCGTGGCGATTTATGTGAAGCACCCAAAAGCTAATGGTACGCTTCTGTATTCCCATGGAAACGCCGCCGATTTGGGTCAGATGTTTGAGCTTTTCGTCGAGCTTAGCAATCGCCTCCGTGTTAATCTCATGGGGTAAAAACTCTCTCTTTCTCTCTTTCAAAGAGCTTCAATTTCAGGGCTTTGATGCTATTAGAACGGAACATTTGGGGTTTTTTTTTGGATTTTTCTTTCCAAATTTGACTTCTCTTTGCCAATTGTAAAATTGAATAAAAGCTTGCGTTTTTGGATTGGTGATTTTATGAAGATTTGTTTTTTTTTTAGTCAGAAAATGTTACCATATAATGACAAATCTTATGTGATTATAGCAAAACATTCTGGGACTTGTTGACCCAAAGAATTAATTTCAATGTAGTCTCCATTTAATAAGTCTGAGATCAAGTTTTTTCCCCAAATGTTTTGGCATTTCTATAGAAATAGTTGGAATCTTGTAATGCCAATTTTTTTTACTGCTACTGTATCAGTCATACTCTTCCTCTGTGTCATAAGAAGAATTTTGGAGTCTGTGAATGCACTTTGTATATGTTCATATACATATACTTGCTTAATGTATTAACATCTGACTTATATGCATTTCTCTACATCTACTCTATTATCGTAAAGACTCGAAAAATTGTTACTTTTGCTTGTGTTTGTTTTGCTTGCGTCGTTTCTTTAAGTGTTTGTTATCCAATGTTGAGTAGCTGATAGTTCTTTTAATCTGTCGTTTTGGTTTTTCCTTTTACAGGTATGATTACTCTGGTTATGGCCAGTCCACTGGAAAGGTGAGCTTTCTAACATTTTTCAGTTCGAAATAACGAAACTTTATAGACTCGATGTATTGTTTCTGATGCATAAAAGTATGTTACTTGAATCAGGCAAGCGAGTGTAACACATATGCTGATATAGATGCATCATATAACTGCCTCAAAGAACAGTATGGGGTAAAAGATGATCAACTGATATTATATGGTCAGTCTGTTGGTAGCGGACCCACGATTGATTTAGCTTCACGCACGCCTAATTTAAGAGGGGTGGTTTTGCACAGTCCTATTCTGTCTGGGATGAGAGTTTTGTACCCGGTTAAACGAACATATTGGTTTGACATTTACAAGGTAATTTAGCACACATTCTTCCATATTTGTCCTTTTTCCATGTATAAATGCTTACACGCACAGTTCCTCGTTTCAGAACATCGACAAGATCACTGCTGTTACCTGTCCTGTCTTAGTAATCCATGTGAGTGATGCTCATCTCTGATTTTTCTTTTTCCTTTAATCTTCACATTATTGATGAATGGAGTTGTCATCCATTGCCTCCCTCCACAGATTCTTGCAAAGAATCACAATTTGTAGGTGAATAGGACCATTTGATAAGAAAATGTTTGGTGATACTCAAGTTGTTGAATTTATGGAAAGATTAGTTTGGTAGCCATCAATAGAGAGAATGATCTGTCTTCTTTTATGGGGCCACTTCTCATTAGCTGAATAAATCAATGTGTTGTGTCTTAAACTTTCTCTGTTTTTTACTAACCAAAAAAAAAAAGTAATCTTCCAATAGAGAATGATCTGTCTTCTCTTATGGGATCAATTACTATCATTGTGTTCTGTCTTAAACAAATCAGTGACATTATCACTAAGGTTTTTTTATCTCTTTTGTTTGGTCTTTTAGGGAACTGCAGATGAAGTAGTTGATTGGTCTCATGGAAAACAACTTTGGGAACTTTCCAAAGAGAAGTATGACCCTTTATGGGTATCTGGAGGAGGACACTGCAATCTAGAACTCTATCCAGAGTTCATAAAACATCTGAAGAAATTTGTAATATCGATTTCCAAAACCAAGGGACCAAGAAACGGCTCAAACAAGACTGCTGCAGCAACGGATGCAACCAAAAACCCGAGCAAGCCTTCAGAAAACGGACGTGCTGATACGTTTCAACTAGGCTGCTGCCTTCCGGAAGTTTCTAGAAACAGTGTAGACAGTCAGCTGGAAAAATCTAAGAAGACTAGTAAACCCGAGAAGTCTCGGATGAGCGTTGATAGGTTTAGAAGAAAAAAAGGTCTGGTCTGGTGACATAAAAAGGGTCGAGCCATCGCTCAAAACAGGGTATTTGTTGTAACTCCTGTTTATGTAATCCATGTATTTTTGTTTATTCTTCTGAAGCCTTTTGATATGTTGCTGCATAAATTTTATGATGTGTGTGGTTATGTTGTTTATTCAGGTTTGTTGTATGTATTTTCTGACAGAAACAGATCAAAACTCAAAAGTCTTGATTTCATATTTGGATGTAACTTTGTCATGATACGAAAATGCTGTAATGACTGACTACTTTGACAGGTTTAATCTGATATATACAACAATTTAGTGCCTTGTATACACTAACTTATTACTTAGACCAAAAGGAAATAATGAGAACATTATTATATTCAAAACAGAGCTTGAACAATACCAAAAAAAACAGTTTCGATTTTAGTTTAGACAATAACTCAAAACCAGATTTGGATATATTTGTGGTTTTGTAGGTTATCATACTTCTGAGTAAATTGAGCTTTCACCATGATGCCCGCGGTGTCTCAAAAATATTTTGCACTGGCATATGCAAAAGAGACTTAAGAGGAGCTTTCAGAGAATCCAAACTTCCTTCCATCATCTCTACAGCTTTGTTCATCGATGGACGATTTGATGGGCAGAACTGAAAGCACCAAAGACCAACCATGATCATCTTTCTCGCAATATCTTTCTCTTCTTGAGTTAATTCATCCCAAGAAGCCTTGGATAATCTCCATTTACAAGATCCTTGTAGATCCAATCCCGGAAAGTAAACCAAGCTGTTGTTCGAAATTTGCTTGTTCGACTCTTTCTTTGTTTCTTGCTCTGAACATCTCAAGAACCAACATTCCATAGCTATTGTTGAGATATCAATCTAAGTCAAGAAGTTTAGACAAAGAATGTATAATATATAAGTTATGTCAAAAAGTAATTAGTATGAAGTCTTTTCGGAAAAAATCTAAAAACAAATCCGTGCAGGCTTTGCCACTTGGGTTCAAAGCAGACAATATCATACTAATAGAGAGTTGGACATGTGCTTTAAAAAAAGGTGGAGAAGCCACAGGTTTGTGTGGTTTTGGCTTGAAGATGGGATTGTTGGGATATCAATCCAAGTCACACATCGGAAGTTTAGATAAAGAATGTCTAATATATAAGTCATGTCAAAAAGTAATTAATATGATGCCTTTTGGAAAGGAACCTAAAAACAAAGCTTTGCCACTTTGACCCAAAGCGGACAATATCATACTTAATAGGGAATTGGAGCTTAAAAAGTCGAACAGCTATACATGGTTCCTTATATTCTCGAAAACAACTCTGGAGCAATGTATCCTATAGCCCCTCTCGTGTAAAGCAAGTTTAAGAGTTTTGAATGTGTTGTTTATGTGAGGGACATTGGAAACGATGTTGGAGATATTTAGAGAGGTTTTGTTTGAAACTCTGTCGCAGCTAAGCTTCAGAGATGGATGACCACAAGGTACGCCACAATTTTCCTCCCCAAAAGGGGAATTTCGCTGTGATGTTTCCACACTCTAACACAGAGTCGCATGACAAGAGAGCTGGGTTGCTTAGAGAACAAGGTAGGCTATGAAAAAGGAACATGAACAATATCACCAAACTAAACCTTATTTCCGTATAATCCATCACCGTTTCTTGGATAAATTGTTTAGAAGAGGAAAAGTATAGAAAACAAAAACTCTACAGAAGGAAATTAAGCCAAGAAGCAGGAAAGGTCATCTGTTTCACACTTTTGTTTGAATAGTGGACTTTGGACAAGTCTCTGTTGACCCTACTGAGACGAGTCTTGGATAAGGGAGTTTCAGAAGCCCCAAACCAATTAGTCTGAATGGATTGTCAAGTTTGTTGTTAGTTGGTTATTAGTTGATTGAGAAAATGGAGAAGAGGATGAAAAGTTTGTTATGGGAAAAGATATTTTCTCATTAGATTGTTGAATCTCATCTGGTTACACTTATATACAGTTGCTAAGAAGCTAACCGATCTAAACCAAACTAATTACAATTAATTTACAATGTTGAACCAGCTAAAGGAAACCAGAACAACAGAATAAACCAATCCACTCCAATAGGCCCCCTCAAGATGTGCATTCGAAAATGTTGAGAATGCTCATCTTGTATTTTAGATAATCAAACTGATGAGGGAAGAGTGGCTTGGTGAGAATGTCAGCTACCTGATCTTCAGTACGCACATGTAGAGTCTTAAGAAGCCCTCTGTCCAATCTTTCACGAACTGCATGACAATCTTTCTCGATGTGTTTAGTTCTCTCGTGAAAAACCGGATTGGTAGCAATGTTAATAGCTGCGGTACTGTCAGAGAATAATACTGGTGTAGGAATCTGGATCCGCAAATCAACAAGTAACTTCTCCAACCAAGTGATTTCCCGAGAAGCTAGAGACAGAGCTCGATATTCCGCTTCCGTAGATGAGTGGGATACCGTGTCCTGTTTCTTAGATTTCCAAGAGACCAAGGAGGATCCGAGAAACATACATAAGCCAGTAGTTGATCGTCTGCTATCTTGACAAGCAGCCCAATCAGAGTCTGCAAAACCCTTGAGATTAAGATCAGAATCTGCAGAGTAGAACAGCCCTTGACCAATTGTCCCCTTAATGTATTGTAGAACCCTGTAAACAGCTTTGAGATGAGTAGTGCGAGGAGCAGATGAGAATTGGCACAGCTTGTTTACAGCAAAGGTAATATCCGGCCTTGTGATGGTAAGATACATCAAACGACCTACAAGACTTCGATACATCTCCTTGTTAGGAAGTAAATCTCCATCTTCCTTAGAAATCTTGAGGTTTGGGACCATTGGCGTAGAAACTGGTTTGCAACCAAGCATTCCAACTGATGTAAGGATCTCCAATGCATATTTTCTTTGACATAAAGAGATCCCTGCAGAGTTGCGAGCTATTTCCAAACCCAAAAAATATTTCAGATTTCCCAAATCACGAAGTTTAAAACATCGCTTTAAGGCTGTGGTGAGTCGAGATGCAGACTCTGTATTTGTGCTTGCTATAACAATATCATCCACGTATACAAGCACTGCAAGAAAGTTTCCATCATAACAGTCTTTGACAAATAGAGTATGATCACCATCACCTTTAGTGAATCCCAAATCAAGTAAAGCTGATGAAAACTTCTTGTACCACTGTCTCGATGCCTGTTTCAAACCATAAATGGACTTCTTGAGGCGTAAAACAGCATTACGAGGCAAAGAGGCCCCCTTCCTGTCAGCATATCCATCTGGAAGTTTCATGAAAACCTCTTCTTCTAAATCTCCATTAAGAAAAGCATTAGAAACATCCAACTGTGTAAGATGCCATTGTTTCGAAGCAGAGACTTTCAATAAGAGTTTCACTGTAGTGAGTTTGGCAACTGGGGAAAACGTTTCAGTGTAGTCCAGTCCTTCTTTCTGAGTAAAACCTTTCGTAACCAGCCGTGCTTTATACCTTTCTAGAGTACCATCTGCATAAAATTTTACTGTGAAAACCCATTTACAACCCACCGGTTTCTTTCCCGGAGGTAGAGATGTAACCTCCCAAGTTTGAGTTGATTCCATAGCACCAAATTCCTTATCAACCGCTTCACATCACTCTTTAGAATCCTTTGCCTCAGCATATGAATGAGGAATAGGTATTTTGGTGATAGAGTTGATATAGGAGAGATGATTAGGAGATACTTTCTCATAAGATAAGGAAGAAGAAATGGGATATTCAGTATTGTTTTCAAGAGAATAACAATGGTAATCTTGGAGGTGGGCAGGTAAATTTCTTGGTCGAGTATTTGAAACTGAATTTGGTAATGGGGAAGGAGTGGAGATTTCAGGTGGTGATTTAGGGGATGGTATATCTGAGGACAAAGAGACTCGTGGTGTGAAGAATTCCATGCATTGTTCCGAAGCTGGACCTTGGAGCATGGGAAAAATGGTTTCATGAAACACCTCATTCCTGGAAATGAAGACTTGATGACTCTCCAAATCCATGATCTTATACCCTTTATAGCCAGCCGGATATCCCAAGAACACACAAGCACGGGCTCTTGCTTGAAATTTATGTCTCTGTTTTGGAGAAGTAGATCCATAACATAAACATCCAAATGTTTTAATCTGATCATAAGAAGGAGCTTTACCAGTTAGAATCTCCAATGGGGTTTTGTTGGAGAGTAATGGTGAAGGAGTCCGATTGATTAAGAAGACAGCAGTGAGAATGCAATCTTCCCATAGTGATAAAGCCACTCCGGATTGAAACATAAGAGCTCTTGCCACATTTAATATGTGCTGATGTTTCCTTTCCACTACTGAATTTTGTTCAGGTGTCTCTGGACATGAGTGAAAAGATGTGATGCCCTTTTGTTGAAATAATTCAGTGAACTTAAGCTCTGGCGCATTATCTGATCGTACAGCCTTGATCCGTTTATCATACTGGTTTTCAATCTGATTGATGAATGTTGGAAACACAGTTAAAACCTCTGATTTTGTACGAAGAAGATAAACCCATGTGGCTCTTGAATTATCATCAACAATGGTCAAAAAATATTTATAACCTTCAACTGTCTCAACTGAAAAGGGTCCCCATACGTCTATGTGTAACAGCTCAAATGGAGTATTACAAACATTATTCAGAGAGGGAAAAGACAACTTCTTCTGTTTGGCTAAGTGACAAACATGACAGTAAGCTGCTCCTTTATTCTTGAGACGTGTCGTGCCCAAAGCTTCAGAGATAGTATCTAGACGAGCAAAGGAAGGATGGCCGAGTTTTTGGTGCCAAATGCCAATATCCACAACAGAGTTGATTGAGACTGATGGAGCTTGAACATCGAGCACATAAAGGTTGCCAATCCTCCTACCCTGTCCAATCATCACAGCCCTGGTATGATCCTGAATCTCACAAGAATTTGGATCAAAGATGACATGGGAGTTAAGATCAGTAGTCAAGCAGCTGATACTTATCAGATTCAAACGGAATTCAGGGATAAACAAAACATTCTTGAGAGTGATATGTTTGTTTATCACTACTGATCCAATACCACTGATCCTCACTGTAGATCCTGTTGGTAGATTCACTGAGTTTGCAATAGATGTATCTATTGAAACAAATAGTGTCCTGTCATGACAAACATGATTTGTTGCTCCAGAGTCTATCACTCATGTCGTATTAGACAATGTATGATTGGACACAGTGAGTATACCAACAAAATTCATCGTAGATGGAGAGAAGAAAATACCAGAGTGATTTGTTGCAGGCGTAGAAGAAGATGCATCAGTGGCAGATTTAGGCTGAAGTTGTGAACTAAAGAGAGCAATGAAGTTTTGTATCTGCTCCTTAGTCAAAAAGTCTTCTGTACTGTTGCCTCCAGAGTCAATTGGAGAAGCTGTAGCAACCTGAGCAGCAACTGAAGTAGAAGGTTTCGGAGGTTTGTCAGGTGCTTTATTCTTCTGACCATATCCAGGAGGAAAACCATTCTTCTTATAGCAACGTTCGGCAATGTGACCTACTTTGTTACAAAATGAGCAAATAGGACGACCTTTGTTTGGACCAGATTGTACATAGCAAATCATTTCTTGCTGTGCACCAGGAGAAACGTTTTCAGAAACCTGGAAAGCTGCAGAAGGCATCGCATTTGAGAAACCTTTCTGGCTATCATCTTGGTCTAAGATATTGTAAACTTCAGCCAAACTTGGTAAGACCTTCTTCATAATAATCTGTCTTAGAATGATGGCATAAGATTCATTGAGACCAGCCAAAAATTTTACAATCTTAGCTCTCTCTGCCTTCTGTTGCAGACGATCAGCTTTCCCACATGTGCAGGGTTCATCAAGTTCTTCAGTACTCTCCAGATTGCTCCACAAGGTTTTCAGAGTAGTGTAGTAATCGGAAAGAGACATATTGCCTTGACGTAGATCCTGTATCTCTTGTGTGAGATTAAAAGTCCTTGGCAAATTTGTCATATAAAATTTACCATACAAATCTCTCCAGATATCTGTAGCATCATTCATTCGCAACACACTACGATAGATCTGAGGAGAAACAGAGTTTAACAGCCAGGATTTCACCATACTGTTACAACGAGACCAGATGCGGAATATAGGATCCGATTCAGCAGGACGAGGAAGAGATCCATCAACAAATCCTATCTTATTCTTAGCATCTAAGGCGATACACATAGCAGCATTCCAATCATCGTAGTTCGTACCATCAAGTTTGAGAAAGATGATTTGCAAACCTGGATGATCTGCGTTATGCATATAGTAAGGAGATTGACTCGGATCCTGTGATTCATAGAGTGCAGAGCTTCGCGAGTTTCCGGAAACTTGAGCTGGAGCCACCGGAGGAGTATTCGGAAGATCTGCAACATCGGAAGAGATCGAGTCGATTTGCGAGCTGAACTCGTCGAAGCTTTCGATCGAGTAGAACGACGGGGTAAATTCTTCAAAGACACCATTGTAGCTTCAAATCGAACCAAAGAAGTCGAAAATGAAGCTCAAATCGGAAGAAATTACCAGAATTTAGAGCTTGGATGGCTCTAATACCATATTAGTTGATTGAGAAAATGGAGAAGACGATGAAAAGTTTGTTATGGGAAAAGATATTTTCTCATTAGATTGTTGAATCTCATCTGGTTACACTTATATACAGTTGCTAAGAAGCTAACCGATCTAAACCAAACTAATTACAATTAATTTACAATGTTGAACCAGCTAAAGAAAACCAGAACAACAGAATAAACCAATCCACTCCAATATTGGTAAAATTTAAATTTCCATTATAGGCAAAGAGATATGATTTCCTCAACTTGTAACACACCAAGAATTGGACGAGCCTATTCATTCTTGGCAGAAATTACTCATCATTCATTATGCATGCGATTTAGGATACATGTATTACTCGGATTAATACTATCCAAATAATATCATCTTAAATATATAACTACAAGGCTTTAAGTACTTAGGTAACCTCTAATATCTCCTGTCAAAAAAAAAAAAGAGAAGAAAGATAACCCCTAATATCGAACATGTTTGATACATGGCGTCATAGTTGAAACCCTATCGAGTTGTAACATTTGAACAAGAAACTTACAAAAATAAATTCGTTGGTGATCGTGGCAACTCGAAACTAAACCTACCCCTTGCTAGCTTAATTTTGCGTCATTTAAATTCATGTTGCTTTCTTCCAAAGTATCTTGTATCCTTTCCGAAAAAACAATAGAAATAGTTTAAAAAAACATCGTCTCATAAGCATAGAATCAGCATTTATTAAATCAGAAATATTATAAGAACAACCTACAAGAATACCTCAAGACCTCAACAAATTGTAAGAGATCCACTCTCTTCTTTTGAAAAGCATAAAGTATCTTCACCATAGAGAGTACCTCTTCCAACCCGACTTGGGCTAGAGAAGCTTGAAGTTTGAAGTCTCATTATTATCTTCAACACTTTCTGGAACTCTAAATGTGGGTAAACACCATAATGGTTTAGGTGGAACCTGGATAGCCTCTATACTCCCCTCTATCATTTCAATGACTTTTACCATTGCTGGACGATGATATGGATTGGTCTGAATACACCATAGACCAACCAACACCAGTTTCTTTGCAATTTTCTCTTCTTCGTCGGTTATCTGATCTCCAAAAATCCTCATTATTTCTCCCCTCTCAAAATCCTTATAGATCCAATCTGGAAAGTACACTGAACTGTTGTTGGATCCAGAATTTTCAACTTTTTCTGTATTCCTTGCTCCAATCATCTCCAGAACCACCATCCCATAACTATAGACATCTGACTTATGTGAAACTGCTCCAAAATTCTTTGAAAACACTTCAGGAGCAATGTATCCAAAGGTTCCTCTTGCATCTAGCATTGACATGATGCTCTCTTTATTTTTGCAGAGCTTAGCAAGACCGAAATCTGAAATCTTGGGACAAAGATCTTTGTCCATAAGTATGTTTTGCGGCTTTATGTCAAAATGAACAATCCTTGATACACAACGATTGTGTAAATACTCTAGGCCACGAGAGACACCTAACGCAATGTCATATAACTTTTCCCAGTCCATCTTTGTTGACATATTCTCGGAAATAAACCTGTCGAGGGATCCATTTGGCATGAACTCGTAGATTATAGCTCTCTTGTTACCTTCATAACAGAATCCAACAAGAGAAACAATATTAACATGAGATGTTCTACTCATGCTAGCCACTTCATTGATGAACTCTTCTCCGTTCCCCTTTGACTCCTTCAAGATCTTCACTGCAACATCTTGGTTTCCTTCGGGTAACTTCCCTTTATAGACAGTTCCAAATCCTCCTTTCCCGAGAACATGTGCAAATGAGTTTGTCATCTTCTTGACTCTTGCGTAACTATATCGTTTCAACATCACAACTTCTTCAATGTTTTCGTCATTCCAATAATTTTTTCTCGCATTCTTTGCTCTCACAATCACCACGACCATAATAATGATAATCACAATCGAAGCTGCTGACACTCCTGCGATTTAGAAAAACAAGGCTTTAAACTTAGGTGTTAAATACATAAAGAGTATTGTCAAATGGATTGAGCTAAAGGGTACCAAGTATGAGTTTTAACTTCCACATCGAGTTACTATCGTTGCCTTCTGTTTCAATCAAAGGCGCATTAAGCAACACTGGACCACACACTTTAACATAAGTAGTACTTGAAACCAACGAGCCCTGGTACCCGGTGAAGAAGGAACCCGGTCCTTTCAGCAAACAATTTCCGGACCCATCAGACATAGAGACAGACGCAAGACAAGAACTGCCAACAAGACAATTCGACCTGCAAGACGAACTACCCACAAAGAAAACCTCCGAGTTTGGGTCATCTAGGTTTTTAATCAAACTAGTGTGATCCAAATCAAGCATGGTTGTGTTGCCAAAGCAATCACTTAGCTCTACTTTTCTTTTGCACCCTTTTCTTCTATCATTCGCATCAACAGGATCAAAGTTTAAAGACGGACACAAGCAAATTGGATTGGTACCTTTGTAACTACAAATCCCAAAGTTTCCACAATATCCATAAACAAGACACTGGTTAGGCAAAGCCGACCACTGAACCGCAACAGGGCCATTGTTCCTAGTATCATAACTATAGATTCTCAAATTCCCATCATCGCCTAGCTTCAAGAACCTAAACTTATTGCTACCTTCACCGTAATCTTCACTGTAAACAGCTTCAGCTCCGCGAGGGAGAGTTGAATCAAAGATCACAAGAACTCCGTTAGTCTGTAAACCTAAGCTAGGGGAAGATAGGTTCGAGCTGAAGGAGGAAGGTAGCTCTTGATTCCAGTAAGTTATGCTATTGTTATACCTAAGCGTGAGATTCCCGTTTCTCTCTAACTGAAACGAGTAATCACCAGATCGGAGAACCTTACCGGCGGTGAGATTCTGCGACTGGACGATCGTGTCTGTCGGGTGATCGAAGGAAGACCAGACAGGGATGCTTCGGTTGTTTAGAAGTAAAAAGTTACCGGAATCTTGGATTGATGCGGAAACGACGCCGAGACGATCGGTTCCAGAGTCCCAGACGGTGGTGTTGGAGCCACTGATAAGGCGGAGTGAGCCAGAGGGGAAAAGACGAAGAGATCCTCGAGAGTCAACGCTTCCTACGGACCATATGGGAACGTTTTCAGCGAAAGAAACAGCGGCAAGAAAGGAACCAGGGGAAGACGCTGGAACAAAGGAGACGGAGAAAGTGAAATTGGGAGACGACCAAGACTTGTCGGAACCCGGACGCGTAAAGAACAGAGCCGAGAGGTATGGTAGAA